AACTAAAAAACCCGTAATATAGCAGTTAGATTAACGCCCTCAAAATATGAAAAAAATTACACCTTTGTCTCTTACAGGAAAGGTTTTCAGTGCCTGTACGAGCAAACATCAGCTGTTAGTGGACAGCCATTTGGATGATTCTTGTAGAACCAACAGTCACTTGCCTTCCTTCTTCCTTCGACTCGTCGGCGTCCCTCTTCGGTCCAGTTACGTACCGCAACAGTGCCTTTGGTCACCTAAAACAAAGTACTGTCCCAAAAACTAACATTCTTTTTACAAGAGCGCAATGCAGCTAAAAAAATGAGCACTAAAATCAAGATGCGTGCGGCTTTTCGGCGTGAATCAATTCTAATAACGCCTGATTCACGCTCACAATGTCAAGCTTTAACTGAGGATTAGGAGTCACCCAAGAGATAATAAAGATGAGGTCCACCTTTTTTGCTCTGAGGAAGTCGTCAATCGCCTTAGTAAGGGTAAACACGGAGAGCTGTGCCAAATGAACAACAGAAAAGGAAGGGAGGGCAAGGAGAGAAGGAAAATGACAAAAATTGGCTCAAGGAACACTGTAATCAGTTTGCAGCGCCAAAATGAATTCAGAAGCGAATAAATGAATTCATTAAAAAAAAATATAAATGCAGCAACAGAAAACGAGTCCAAATCAGAGTGGAAGTACCTGTAAAGATAAGGAAACTAAGTCTCCGCAGAAAATGACAAATCTCATGCCGTCAGTTCACTTTTCCTCAACAATGATGAAGCGCCGAGGGTGAGGAAGAGGGAGAGATGGGATGGTTGCGAATTTGTGAAGGAATTAAAAATTTGTTAGTCAACTTCAAGACTCTGCATTTTTCTCTGCAATTTAAAGTTTCCAAGAACAAACAGGCGAATAAGGAAACTTACTTTGAAAACCTGATGCTGATTTTTTAAAAATGTTTGCAAGCCACCATTTGAGTCTTTGAGCTGCGCTTTTTCTTCTTTATTAAGTATATCAGCGATATCGCTCAATGGACAAGCCTGTTCACAGCACCACGAACTGCAATTTTCGGAAAACAGGATGCAGTAAAAAACTGCCTCATCAGCCCACAAAGGACTTATATTCATAAAATACCGGCCAATGTAAAAGAACGCAGGGAAAAACCAGCCAGTGTGGTGGAATCTCCCACCCTCATCCTCCTTTGCCCACTCCCCTTCCCTTGAACGGATGTATGGAATTATGTCGATAAGAAACATCTAAAACAGGAGAAATGGAAAAGCTGTCAGCCGCATCATCGGTAAAAAAGAAATGCGATGATGAAACGGGAGCTGATCAAAGTAAAGCAACGGATGAGGGATCGCGAAGACGGTGGGGATTTTTAGAAGCCACAGATAGTGGATTTTACTGATTAGCGGATGGAATTTCAAAATGGCGATTTGAACAAAAAGAAAACGTATCATTACTTCGCTGTGACGCATGATGAACTGTTTGTAGAGGTAAGAGAATATTTTTTTCGTTAACATTTGGCGAAATTCCAACGGAAGTTGTGAAGTGTTCCTTATCTGGAAAGAAACAGTTCATGAAAGATTTTTATTCAAAGAATCCCCAGAACTGTTCAGTAAATTGACTAGAGTAAAATTTCCGGGATTAAATGTTTTGATAAAAGAAAGCAATTTAATCAAAAAAAAAAACATGTGAGTTATCGCAAAACCATGAAGGGTTCGACTGGTTTTCAAATGGATTATAAAAACTTAGAGCGAAACTGACTGTAAAGACCATTAGCCGTTTTTGTCGAAACAAAACTAGAAGAACAAATCTTAGCCAATTCCCATTCCTCACAAACACTTCTGTTCTGATACTCTGGTCAGCTGCCAGTTCATTGTAACGTATCTTCACGTCGTCAACATAACAATCAGTATTCTCGCATTGCTGGGAGGACAGAAAGCAGCGTTATTCTAGTGCTCGGTCTGATTACAGTTGTCCTGATGGCCACTTTCTTGCTTTTGTTTCTTTTTTCGAAAAGAAATGTTAGACGTGCTAAAGTTTTGCTACCGCTCCAAGGGAGGAATTATTGCCGATATTTGAAGTTTGAAAAAAATTTTCGTTTATTGGCCAAATTTTTTTATTTCCAATAATAAAAAAAACACTTCTAAAATAAATTAAAATGACTATTTTATTTCCAGAAAAAGATAACAATCTTCTTG